TCGCGGGCAAAAGCTAGTGTATAATATAATCAACGTTAATTATAGATTTTTTTTGTTCTGGTTTTGCACTTTATTAGCCCTCTCTCCTCTGTATGTGTAGATTTGAAGGAAGAAAACTCATTTAAAAGTTATATTCGCCTTTTTCTTTGTTGTTCAGTAATGTAAATGTCACTTCACTTTTCATTTAAACAATCAGTGTAAAATAAAGTTTAGAGGTATTAAGTTATTACTAATATTAAATAGTTACGAGTAAAATAAATTAGATAAACTACTGAGATACGGACCAGAAAGAAGAGACAAGAATTTCAATTTGCCACGGCTCATCCAGTGTTGCCGGAGTCATTCCGTACAATAAAGTCAATGCCGTTATACCCCTTGCAATACAATGTCAAAAATTACAAGCGCTGTGGATTGTCTACCTAACTACCAGTAGGCTCAATAGCCTATTCTGCTATCATCCTAACTGGTTGACAAGATTACGGAGCACGTGACGATGCTAACATCTGCCCTAGCAAGTGCTCCGCTGAATCTACTGAGAAACTCAGTAGGTTGGGTCTGTGGCTGTTCTTGTACTCGTCTCACGAACTCTTCGAAGCGAAACGTATGCGATCTTTTTGGCAGAAATAGAAAAAATATTTATTCATACGGCCTCACAACATACCATACCACCGCTAGTTACTTTTTATTAGTATTTTTGAATTATCTTCTTAACTTTATAGATTTTCGTTCGTAAATACATGCCGGGCAAATAAATAACTCATTTGTAGGTTGAGGATTGTCTTACTGACTGGGCTACGGCTTTTTTTAATTTATACAACTGTTCGTTTATCGTTTTAACAAAAAGAAAAAAAGCTGATTGTTTTTGCATCTTCTTTATAAAAATATGTATTCCCTATAAATAAGTAAAATAACTTATGTTGCATTGCAATGTCGAAATATAAGCCTCACGTGATTCCATAGTGAGTCGTCGCATTGAGTTTAATTATAGCTTTATGTACGTTCTTACTCGTTGATGTTTTTGTGTGATGGGATAAAAACTGAGTTGGGGTGGCGCGTGCTCACAAAAATGGTAAAAATAGTGAAGCGGTAAAAATAGTAGCGACTCCGCGTACAATAAAAACTCTTAATTTACGCGGTCCGCTGCTATCGGCCGACACTTATGCTCTTTATGTGTGTTGTCTTAGAGCTAATAATTGCCGCTAGACGGTTTTACGGAGGCCAAACTTAGAGCCGGTAAAGTCCTGTGAAGTTACAACCTCCACGTTCGGCTGTCTCCTTTATCAATTTTATTGCGTTTCATTGTTCCGAAAGCTCTTCATGAACAGATTGAATTGCTAACAAAAATTTAATACATTTACCGATCGAAGTTAGAATTATTTCCTCAATAGATATTTGTTGGTTTCGTGCGTTCATATAAATTTTATGTAAACCAAACGTATATTACAATTTTATCATTTTATTGAGTTAAATAAGACTTAGACTTACGCGGTTCACGTAGAGTTAAAGGGTCACCGAAGACTATAGTAGATAAGGCGACGCAGCCACATGAAACATGTCTATCAAACAGTTTGAAGTCTCAATTATATTATACATATATCAGCCGTGCCGCCCGCGCTATATTCTAATTTCAAAACCAAACTTTATTTTCAATATGTATATTTAAAAAAAATATTAGTATTGTATTATAAAACCGGGCACAATACATAGAAACAGAAAAAAATCTGTGACTCAAGTTCAATGGCATTGGCATGTTCTATTTATTTTTCGTATTTCTGCCGCGAAACAGCAGATATGCGTTCCGTTTTGGAAGATGAGACAGCGTTTACAAATTCCGCTGGGACTTCAATCTCATGTCTCAAGACAGCGGCATAATTTATATGAGTCTCGCTTGCTGAATAAACTACTAGTGACTAGTTAAAAAAATACTGTATATTTATGGTATTGCGTATTATTAGTCTGCAAGGATTAATGCAAGCGTGAAATAACTATATACCGCAGTTGTTCAAACGCAGTTGAGACTGTCTCAAAGAGAGTGGTGGAGGCGGTATTCGCGTTCTTTTGTCCTCTAATCACCGACAACCTCCTAGACCTTGAACCCATCTACCTCGAGAATAATGAGTCAACCATCAACTTCTTTGAGAAAAGTGACTTTACAAAGTCGTCACGGTAAGAAGACTGAATTAGTACGAAATCTCTAAAATATTCTTCACGAGCATCGTTTATTAAAATGTTAAAAAGATAATTATATTATTTGCATTAATGAATAACATTTGGCTGCATGAGCGCTGATACATTGTCTTGTCTGTAAGCTCCAGCATAACGACTCGTCTACTCGCACTCATGTAAAAATGGATCATTGTAGTTAATTGAATTAAATACACGTTGTGAATTCATAATGTTACTATAAAGCTGAATGAAATTGTATTACGTTTAAAAACAGACTGAATTTTATGAATTACGACAAATTAATTTAATTTCACCCTTAAACATTTATTTTATTACTAGCTGACCCGACAGACTTCGTAGTGCCTCAATCGATAAATAAAAGACTTAAACTTTTGTATAAAATAAACGTAAAACTTACAAAAGGAAACGGTCCGACGGGCGCCACATCAAAGGAAAAACAAAATTGTTATTTTTATTTAATTTCTATAATTTTCATATTTATCTACCTTTTAAGCCTTCTCTGAACTTCCACAAATAATTCAAGACCAAAATTAGCCAAATCGGTCTAACCGTTCTCGAGTTTTAGCGAGACTAACGAACAGCAATTCATTTTTATATATAGAGATTTAAAACTGTAACAGCACACGATCACAAAATATAGATCCCTACGATTTGTTTAGATCAATTAAAAAGGTATAATTTTTATGCGTTGGAAATCTCTTTACCGAATGGGTGTAATTGATTTGCAGATCGACAATCCGAATTGTTTTTTTCAAAGCTTGCAACTAATAAGGTTAATAAATTTCGCTAACTCAATTCATGACATTACCAGATTTATTCGGCTACAGTATTTAATTCCATTATTTTTTGTGGATTAGCTAGGTATCAAATTTAATTGGATTTGTTTTTCTAAATCAATAGCAAATAATGTGTACGTGTAAATGTGTACAATCATTTTGCGCAGTTTTGCTGCAAAACAGTTGTGCGTTTTGTTACGATGGATGGATCCACGGTCGTTGAACAATATACAATTAATACTTCAACCTCATGAAATTACTAGGGTTCTAATGTCTATAAGCTCCAGTACTATTTAATACTAAATGGGCAGTGAGCTTCTTCGGACACCCAGAGCAACAAAGACTCCCTAATTATTTAACTCGTTTTGTTGAAGAATGCCATTAAAATCATATTAGACATCATCGATTTTGCAAGATTGTTAAAATTTTTTTGGTTAACCTAATTTTCAACTGTAACCTTTGAGTTTGTAATCGAATTAATCAAATATCACTTTTTGCATAAAAATATTCCCGGTAAAAATATACGCACTAAACAATGCTACATTATGTTAACTAACTTTTATCAGATACGTGACCCCATCCTCTTCTACACTTCCCATCTTCCGACTGCTCTTGACCGATTCTTAATCCTTATCTTGTTTACTGGCTTAACCTTTCTACTATTTCCTAATTTGCGTTCCTTCCTTCCTGGTCTAAACAACGAAAGTTGTGATCAACCTCGCGACCGCTCGTTTCAAAGTTGGTCAAATCGGATCACAAGAAGAGTTGAATCGAACTCATCTATCGCGAAAAGGAACATGAATAAAAAACGTTTTGTAGCTATCAATGTAACGAAATCTCAGTAAAAGAATAAATAGTGTCACAGAGAAACAGAATATAAGTAGAGTAAGAAATATGGTCTATAAGTATTATTGTCTCACGTTGTATTTTATTAATATAGATGATCCATGGGGAATGCTTTGAGGTGTCGAGGAAGGATTCGAGGATTTTTTGAGATGATCTCACCATGCTCTCTTTACCATCGCACCACTCGGCACAGGATTAGAGTTGATCCCTACTTCCTGAAATTACTATGCCCATCCTGCTAAGTGACATGTCCTTCTTCAAAAGAATTGTAAAAAAGTGCAAAGGCATCTGGCTTTACATTTATTTTTACATAGTACTCATGATGTCTTTAAGCGACCCTAACTACATATTATCACTCTAGAAGTTTGTCTAGAATGTTGAAAAAAAAATTGAATTGGAAGAATTGGTCATTGAAAATTTTATTACTGTAGTATTTATTGTTAATAAAACGCGCGGACTACTATTACATCAGTTCTCGAATTTGTTTCTATTAATGTCAGCTAGTCTAGAACGCGCGGGAGCAACTCGTAAAACATAAAAAGTGCTTATGTGGCGCTACTCCACAGAGGGCTAAAAAACAGTCAGGAAGGAACATAATGTAGTAGCGGCCATAAAAAGTGAATGCATTGCATGCATGTGGAGTGCACCGGGGGTGGGGTGCGGAGCGGGGAGAGCGCGGCAGGAGGGGCGTGGGGGTGTGTTTACTGCGCGGAGGGGCGGACGAAGCCAGGCAAGCCGCTCACTGCTACCGCCAGTGTTGTCGTAGGTCACGACCAGAGCGCTCGCATCGCTCGCTACCCTCATTCATCCTTTTAACTCCGCGACGACACAACATGTGAACAATCTTATCTGAAATTTTCATGAAAACTGTAACGGACATTTTCCAATTNAGGAGGGGCGTGGGGGTGTGTTTACTGCGCGGAGGGGCGGACGAAGCCAGGCAAGCCGCTCACTGCTACCGCCAGTGTTGTCGTAGGTCACGACCAGAGCGCTCGCATCGCTCGCTACCCTCATTCATCCTTTTAACTCCGCGACGACACAACATGTGAACAATCTTATCTGAAATTTTCATGAAAACTGTAACGGACATTTTCCAATTTTAATCATTATATTTGAAAAGAGAATTTTCGAGCGTTTGCCGAAAGACTTTTAAAGTGTTCAAAATAAATGCATTATCCGTGAATCTGGTGTGAGATGGCCTTGTCGCTGCAGTCGACGCAGAATTCAAGAGGTTTGTGAAGTTTCAGTTATTAGTTAGTTGCCTCCGCGGTCCGCTGAAGCTGAAGGAAGTGCATGTGTGTAAAGTTTCAAAGTTGCCGGGGCGCGACATGCGTGGAGCGAGCGCCGGGATTGGCCGACACGCTCGCTACTTCCTCGCACACATGTTTATTTGCATTCCAACCTTGCAGATTCAGTGAACCGTAGCGGCACCGAGAGCGTAGCAGCGTGCTACGATACCGCTACAATATTACGTGATACGTAGAAAGCTTCTACAACCGACGATAAAAGTTTTGATCTTGTTAGACTCATATAAATACTATTATTTACATATGTAAGTAGAAAGTATAATAATATTTATTTATAAGTATTTATTTAAATGGTAATTAAAATCACACGATTTATTCCTTATCAACAATAATCGTTTTTTGAAGCACAAATCACGTTATATAAAAACAATAGCAGAACCGTAAATTGTTTGTGTTAATTTAAAGTCTCAATTATGTCTTAAGCTTCAAGCTAAATAGTGTCATAAAATTACTGGTATTACTGTAATTACTGGTATTACTGGTTTTAAGTGATAGGTAATGATTAATTAATGATCATTAATTTTGGTTAAGGTTTGAAAATAATGCAATGGTTAATGAATTATAATCATTGCATTATACCTAGGAAATAGAAACAATTGTGTCTAAATTTTTTTGATAAAATAAAATATAATGATTTACCGACGGCACCTTGACCTTTGTTGTTTTCACGTTTTGTATATGGTATGTGCATTTCTTATAATACCTACATATATAATATGAAAATAAGGGCTATATAAAAATTATACGAAAATTTATTTGTTGTCAAAATGAATTTTGAATATTTTTTTAAAAGTGGTATTGAATCAATAGCGTCATAGTCATTGTGCTACTATTGGTTTACAAAATAGTTTTAAAAAGAAATCGAAATCAATAAAATTAAATTAATTTTCCTTCAAAACCCGGAACAATGCAAAAAATATATATTTTTCTAAGCTCACTTACGTATTTGGTATTGAAAGTACCAGGTTTGGTTCATGCGTCATACAAATTTAATCGTAAATATATATTATTTTAACTTTAACTTAATTTTCAAACACAAGTGAAGCTTTTTAAAATATTCCTATTTCTAATCTTGTGTCCTAGCTACAAGTTGTATTATATTTATTGAAATGAAAACTTTTTAATGTTTTTCACACTAAAGTATAAATTTATTAAGTTTATTTTAATCACTTTAATCAAAGCCAATTAAAACCGTAATGGTAATTTACAACGTCAACAATTTGTAATAGTATGTTGTAAAAAAGTAATTTTCAGTAATATTTATTTAATGTTATATAAATGTATTGTAATGTTATTTATGGATAGACGTACTACCAGACGTTTAGTGTCAAAATCCCAATTGTAACGACTGTTTTTTGCATAAAATCGGAAATTATGATTACTTCTCGGCAGAAATATGCAGTTTCGTAGTACCTAATCATATATAATTCCAATACACTCTTACAAAAAACACTAAAACTACCATAACAAAAAAGCCAATTCATGTTATTTTTATACGAAATCAATTAAAAATTCAATAAATTTGCAATAAAGTACCATCACATTTAATGTACCATCACAAAATATTACATTGGTAGGTTGTAACTCAGTATAACTCAATAATATTGTCTTCACTCATCATCATGAAAAGCTTATGATAGTTTTATATACGTCCTTAGTCAATGTTGCTCATGGAATTTATTCAATGACTACCACTAAGAGCTCCCTTTAAAACACGAAGAAGAACAGTATTCTATTATATTATCAAAACAACATACCGGGGCAACCTACAATTAAAAATTCAACTGGTTAATGATTCTGTTTTTTACAATCCACTAGATAATTGAATAAGCCGATGGACCACCTGATGTTAAGATTGTCAGAACTCAACATCATAGTGCCAGTATCCACTTTGAAACGTGAGGCGGAAATCTTAAGCGTAACGTACATGTATAGTACAATAAGCTAAACTACGTAGCTTTGTAGGCAGACGAGCATAAGACCTTCTTGATGGTAAGTGGTGACCATCGCTCATGGACGCCAGAAATGCCAGGGGCACAGGCAAGTCACTGCTCTACCATTGAATTAATGCCAATGAATTATTACCATTAATCTGGAGACTCTAATCCTGACTTCTCCAAGCTACTTCTAGTACTTCCCATTATCCGACCGTTATTACATTCGTCCACCAAAGTCCCTAGATCCAAACTTCCTATTTCTATCTTAGTCACCAGGGGTAAGGGGCATATATGGGTACCAACATCCAGTCTATTTCTAGCGAAGTAATTGATATAGTATTATACAATCGTTGTAACAACACAACTGATACTTAAATCATTAGTCACAAGCTGCAACGGCATTCAGCTGGCTGAGTTCAAGGGTCCCAGTAACCGCAGCGATTAATTCAGAGCTTTCTTAATGAATAAACAAAGAAGAGAAATGTGAGAAGTAGAGAAATATCATGTAATAATAATCTGCTATAAATCTAAATTCTACCAACAGATCACGATAATCGAAATCTATATCCGCAGCCGCAGTTATAGAATAAACAATAAGTAGTTTTTGATGGTACCAAGATTATAAATAATTAAATTAGCCAATTTGTTTTATGTTTGTGCTGTAATAACCATTATAGGTTGACCGAACTAGTTTATTGAAAAAGAACTTCCAGCAGACGCATTTCATTTTTTTTATACGAAGATAAATAGACGAACTCATGGAACTCCTAGTGGTTACTGAAGTCCATACACATCACATGGAGAACAGGACCACAACACGCCTTGAAACATGACGTCAACTTCGCAATTCTTTTGTATAACTGCTATTTCCACCCTTCAAAGGAGAACATGTGAATACATCGCGGCAGAAATAGATGGGATGGAGGCTGCCTAGTTCGTAAAGAACTTGTGTTACAGGTACCAGATAACGGAAATAAATGTAAGATTTTTATTATACACATACATATATTTAATATACATCCATAACTCTGGAAAAGACTTTTATATTTATCATACAAATATCTTCCCTTGCCGGGATTCGAACCCTCGACCCCCTTGTTTAGTGACCATGTCACTTACCACTACACCAGACGGCCGTTAAGCCGTGTGCGGGTGGTGACGATAACAATACACTGGTATAGTACGAAAAGATCGTCGCTGTTCAAACTCTGTCGGATCTTTCAGTTTTCTTCTACGGCACCTACTGGAAGAGATAGGGTTGGACAACAAAAATATTTAGTGAGTCTGTAAGTTAGTTTAGTTAATTGACAATTAAAACAATATAAACACAAGTTGAAAAGATTACGTAAACGAGGAAGCCAAAAGAAATTCGGCGCGTAGTATATTGCGCTTAACCCTAAACTAGGAATCCATATGAAGTCTTTAATCTGTGCGGCTACTCTCCGACTAGAGGCTAATCGCATTACATTATTTCGAAATTAGGACGGACATAAAGTAATCGTCGACTAATATATCACTGGCGTAGAGTTTTTCATTGAAATAAAAATGCCTAAGTAAGTTTTGCAGGGTTATTGTAAAAAGCTTGTTACTGTCTGTTAAAAAAATATCGAGGTATGCTCGACGCTCATCTTATTACCAAGAAACTAATAATAATATCATACTAAACTATCCCACGATGTGAATTTCATTACATATTTAAAAAAAAAACTCTGTCTTTATCGAATTAAACGTGTATAAGTAAACTCATTTATTCCAATAACAAGTTATAAAAAATAGTTCAAAACCAAAAGCGAAGGAAAGGAAGCGAGTTACATAAAATCGACCAAAGTATTTGTACGTTCGGCTTTTTATTAATCAATCTGAAAGCCAAGATTTAGCAAAGCAAAAAGCCTCACAAGTGGCGGAGTAACAATAAAGATGTGTCATTGACACGTCCGTTATCGGCTGAACCCTTACGCAATAATGAGTTATGGAGTGGTGAGCCGCAGGCGACTCCATAAAAGTATTGAATATGGGTTATTGACAAATATTTATGGCGTATAAAGAGGGGATAATTACAACTCTTTAGGACATAAAAAGCGGCACACGGAAGGGTGCGGTGCGCTGTAAAAATTTATCGCCGACACTGTCACCCGACGGCTAATAAAAATGGAACATTATTTAGTTTCTTTTTACGAAACAGCGACTTTTGTCAATTATTAATACAAAATTGAATACCTATTAGTTGCGGTTTTGGATGTTTTTGAAGACAATACATAAATAAACTATACCACTTCAGAATTAGTTATTATGAAGAATAGCGTCATAGAAAATGTTACTAGCATGATGTGTAACTTGATTATCCCACGGTTCCATGTGGTTTTAGTTGGGAATTTAGTTCGATCTTTATACAGTAGTCTGTCTACTTTGTGCAAAACGTGATTTCATTATTTTAGTTTCAGCTCTCATTCTTGTCACAGAAAAGTATGTATTTACGCACAGAAATAATTATTTTGTTACACATATTTATTTCCAAAATCGGTTTCTAAGACGAAGAAATATCCAGAAAGGCAGCTACAATCGGCTAATTGAAGTCACAGAGACCTAAACATCACATCATAATCTTTTTTGTCATTATCTTCAATATACTTACGCAGTTTTCTTACAATTTCGTAATATACTGTCATTACATTTTTTTTTGTTTTTAACTGGATTTTCTCTTGCCATTCGAAAAATAAGGGTATTTACTTGTTGAAACTTGAACATTAAGCCTGGTGTTGTAATTCTGATCACATCACAGGGACGGCTCGCTGCTTGTCCTACAAACATTGAAGAATGTTATTAAAAAGTTATGGGATTATCTCGTGGTACGTGCCGCGCGAGACGCTGCCCCTAATCATAACTTTAAAAATTATCTCATCCGAGAAATTTTACATTCACTTTGATAATCAGTTACGATATGGATTATATTTATACTATACTAGCGGCCCGCTCCGGCTCCGCTCGGGTCTTTAACAAAAATTTCAACGATATTTGACGTTGTTTTATTTAAAAAAATAAAAGAACACTTATTGCGGCATAACTGTAATAGTTAGACATATGATGTCGCGACACTTTTTGTAAATAATAATGTGTTCTACAAAGTCGTAGTACATTATTTTATTCTATCATCAATAGTTTTTGCAGGGCACTCGATGTAAAGAATATTTTTGGTAATATTTTTACACCTTGGGTTACGTTATTGGAGTTTTAGTAAGGATTCCTAATTTTTTTCAAAAAAGATTATAGCCTATGTCACTCGGGATTAATGTAGCTTCCAAACAGTGAAAGAATTTTTCAAATCGGTTCAGTAGTTTTGGAGCCTATTCAATACAAACAAACAAATCTTTCCTCTTTATAATATTATATTAAGTATAGATATAGACTAACTATACGGAGACGTAGAAATGCTTTGTTACAAACAAAATAACGAAGTTGCGGCAACTCTCGCAGATGACAAAATATTTTGCCTTTTTCAATTAAGTGCGACGGTGAGGTCTCAGCTCGGCTCCGGGAATTAATTCGACAGCTAAGTAGATAATGTACGGAACTCCCTCCTCGCGCCGCCTCTTCACGCCTCGAGGAGAACTTTCAATTATGATTTTGTCTAATTTTAATTAAGTGCTCTCAAAAAGGCTTTTCTTCAACGAAATTAATATTTGAATATAATTTGGGCGGAGCGGGCGGGCGGAGTTTGCCGCTCGAGGAATAATTAATTCCATTATATAGGTAAGTGGTCGGGTCGCTCCCGGCCCGACATTCGTGTATTCTTGCTGACACTATAAACTTACCGAACTTCATTGTTCTCTAATTTCAAACAATCAGATATAGGCGTAATAATTCTTAAATAAGAGGGGATATTCATTTCTTCGGTAAGACTAGTTGACCCGGCAGACTTCGTAGTGCCTCAATCGATAAATAAAAGACCTAAACTTTTCTATAAAATAAACTAAAAACAAACAAAAGGAATCCGTCCGACGGGGGTTACATCAGAGGAAAAACAAAAAAATATTTTTTATTTAATTCCGAGCATTTTAAATTTACCCTTTAAGCCTTCTCTGGACTTCCACAAAGAATTTAAGACCAAAATTAGCCAAATCGGTCCAGCCGCTCTCGAGTTTTAGCGAGACTAACGAACAGCAATTCATTTATATATATATAGATTAAGATAGATTATTGAATGTATTATAAATTTCAGATTTAAATTAGGAAAACTTTTCAGAATTCTATAAAGCAATTTGCGCAACAGGTCGGGACGGAAGCGACCTGCAGCCGCGTGATTGCGACCAAATGTTTCCTCCACACAATCTGGCTTAGTTTTTACCAAATTTTTTGTTCTCTTTGACTGATAAGTGTGCTATTGATAGTTACAACTAACTTGTTTATTTAGGTCGTAAATAGCAACGTGGACATTTTAGACTAAATAAAACGATTCGCGAATTAATATTATACAAAAATTTCGTATATAGTTTTTTTGTTTGTTTTAATAATTACATTTTCTTGCTTATAAATCGTTATGTTTTGTCGTGCAGGTGTATCAGTACGACCTCTTTCTACAATGCGTCAAGAATCTCTTCCGATGCTGGCGGAGAGACTGCTTGCAAGCCGCGCTGCCGCTCTGGTAGCAGGTCTACCGGCCGAGCTATACTCGGGTGCGCTACTGGCAGCGTGGCCTCCGTCGCCACCTACGCCCTTGCTTCCACCACCCGAACTGGATCGTACTCGTAAGCGACGTCGCACGCCTAAGCTCGATGACCAATCTACTGCACCACCTTCGCCACCGTCCTCAGGTTCTTCGCCTGGTGCAACCGACCCGCCCCGTGATAAGCTCTTCACCTGTAAAGTCTGTTCTCGTTCCTTTGGTTACAAACACGTTCTGCAAAACCACGAACGGACACACACGGGAGAAAAGCCGTTCGAATGCAGCGAATGTCACAAAAGATTTACTCGTGATCATCATCTTAAGACACATTTACGTTTGCACACCGGTGAGAAGCCCTACAGCTGCCCACACTGCCCTCGTCATTTTGTCCAGGTTGCTAATTTACGCCGCCACCTCCGTGTGCACACTGGAGAGAGACCATATGCTTGCACTCGTTGCCCTGCACGTTTTTCTGACTCTAATCAACTAAAGGCACATGCGCTAGTCCATGAAGGCGATGCTCCTTTTGCTTGCCGATGTGGTGCAAGATTCAGACGAAGACAAGCGGCTGCTTTACATCGATGTGCGAGCGCTGGATGCGAGCCCGACACTCCAAGTCCTCCGGTGGCAACTNACACTGGAGAGAGACCATATGCTTGCACTCGTTGCCCTGCACGTTTTTCTGACTCTAATCAACTAAAGGCACATGCGCTAGTCCATGAAGGCGATGCTCCTTTTGCTTGCCGATGTGGTGCAAGATTCAGACGAAGACAAGCGGCTGCTTTACATCGATGTGCGAGCGCTGGATGCGAGCCCGACACTCCAAGTCCTCCAGTCGCAACTGCATCTGATTGGCGTTGGGACGAGTGGCCCGAGCAGACGGAGCCCGAGGATCTATCACTGCCGCGGCGACCGGCCACGCCGGATTCGCCGACCGACTTGCGCATGCACTCCGCGTAGTCGTCGTGCGCCTCTTAAGCGCGCCGCTGAGCCGGTATACGAGTTCCTCCCCCGTAGAATCGCGTCTATTCTGTCAAATTAATTATGAAAGTTAGATGTCTTTCGTCTCTAGTTTTTTGTGTAGTACAATTCTTTACCTGAATTCCAGTTTCTTTTATAATAATAATAGTTATCATTGGGTTACCTAACGACGTAACAACGGTTAAGTTTTTGTAAATACATTACGTTTTTCTCGGTAAGACTACCGGGTTCAGGCTCGTAAGATAGTCTTGACTATTCTTTTTTATGTCTTTGTATTCGCAATGCTCGCTGTAAAAGGCTCTTTTTTATTTACGTTACAATTTAGAATTTTACTGTCGTACAATTTGCATAATCTCAAGGCAAAGCAGAGTAAAAACTGCATGGTTTTGTTCTTTTGTTTTGCAAGTTGCAAAAACAGTAAAAGAGCACCTTGCACAAAAGATCTTTTTTGATTTATTTGAACTGATTTATTGTTTTCTATTGAACCAAAACAAATCGTTATGGTCTATGAATCGATATTTATAAAGCGTCTGTCCTTTGGCTCATAAATTTGTACATGACAACTTGGTGTTGATTCAGACAGCATTTTCAACAATCGATTCACTTTATTTCGCTTCATTGAGAGATTTATATACTCTCAATTCCATCGTCTTGGATTTCTTTTTATTATATTTGACAAATTTCTTAAAATTTTGTTATTAAGAAAAGTCTATCACCTTCAAACGATAATAATTGACTTTAGAACGAGATTAGTATAAAAAAAGAGACGACAATTCAGGAGAAGAATTGAATTTGCATGGACTCCGTGACGACAGCATACACATGACAGAGACGCTTCATGCTTTTGTATATATGCTGACATTTATTAGAAAATTATTTATTATTTATGTATTAGTTTGTAGGTGTTCCAATAAATGTATTTACGGTATTTATTCACATTAGAGATAACCGCGTTGGCTATCATTGTACATAAAGTATTTGTCTAGATGTAAGAATTGTTGTAGTAAAACAGATAGTTGTCTTCTATCAGATATTGTGTGTAGGTGTAATGTTCTTATTGGTGGTATCTCTATAAATTATGAACGAAATATTATAATATGAAAAGTGTTATTAAATATAAAGGTAAAGGGAGACAAAGAGCTCACAGAATTGATTTAAAAAATTCTACGCGAGAAGTGTGACCCAACGAAGCATTCGTCATGTGTTGTACATACATTTACTGCTAAATTATATTTCAATTCTTTGAGTTTTCTGTCAACGTGCTATGGATGAATCCACTCTGTGGAGCCGTTCGTTTGCGAACGGTTTTGAGCAATTTGTTCTACGGGTATTAGTTTCCTACTAGATGTATCGTGTTTATTTTCTCAATGTTAATATAATTTAGGAACGTAGTGTTGTCCTTGACGGTTTTTGCGCACACGATTTATGAATACTGCATGTATATATTTAATCTGTAATATTTGTTGATTGTTTTTATTTTATTTTATCTCTTAGATAGTAATAAATGTCGGTGCGTAGGGTCTCATTAGAGACGTTAGTTTACGAAGTATATTTTCCAAAGAAATTATTGGTACAAATATTGTAATGTACAAATTTAAGGTGACGTTCCGATTAGAAAGTTGTAATTGTAATTCGATGTTGCAATGTTTTAATATTACTAATAGTTAGTGTAAAGTTAGGCAAGCGTGCCATTATCTACCTCATTCGACTATACCACGTCAGGGTAAAGAGCCAAAGTTCTTGGAATATTTTCTATTGTTTATCTCTGTCGGGATAATGTACTATTGACAGGATTTAGTGTAGCTGATAGCGAACTATCGCCACGTAACAAACACCATTTGAGACTGATATTCTTTTCATTATGTTTGTTTGCCGATACCGCCCTTATTTGTGGTACATTTACATACCAACGTTACACGCGTTAAGAGGTAAATCTTAATGCAATTATTTATTTAAAAAGTATTCGTATTCAAAGTTATAATTAAAATGTCTTTTAATAAAATAAAATAAAAATGTTTTCGCCATTACTGCAATCGATTTAAGTTCCTATTTACTTAACTGTTTTAATTAATTTGTTTTTCTTTATTGTTTGTATGATTATAGCTTAGTTGTAAAAGTTTGTCGGAATAGCTCGACTTCTGGCAAGTCCTACATCGCCGACTTTCAATTGAAATTCCTTAAACAAATCTACCTCATCTTTTGCCATCATACAGGTGTTTCGTTTGAAACAAAGTACTTGTACAAATATACATATAGATATAATTGTGACTACGATACTATAAATATATGTATGTATTTCTTATCGGTGTCCAATACTTATTGAAATAAAAAAAAATGTTTGTTATTTATTTTTTCTAAGTTTTATTGAACCCATCTTTATATTAATTAAATCACGAATTTTAAATTGTAAAAACCACTACTATTAATATGTATTTCCCAAAACATACATATGAACTCATATTTGCTTACGTGTCAGCGTAAGTACCCAAAGAGACACAGACACGACATTTCTGGTTCTGGACTGTAGATCGAAAAAAATGATTGCCTTTGTAGGCAGACAAGCATACGGCCCATCTGATGGTAAGTGGTTACTGTCGCCCATGGACGTCAGCAACGCCAGGGGCAGAGCCAAGCCGTTGCCTACCATTTCCTTAAAGTAGTAGATAGTAAGATACCTAAATAGTAGATACAAAATTCTCTATTGCTCGTCAACCATACTAGCTAGTAGGCCTTAAGTTAGCAAATGCACCGAGTTATTAGTGAGGGGATTAAATTAGAAATTAAAGAGGACGAAGATTTTTTATTAGTAGTGGGAGAACGGTATCATCTATGGGCTCCCGTAACCCCCCAATCTAAGTAGGAAGTGAATACCAAATCTGTGGGTGTGTTGCGATACACATGCTTACATTAGACAATAACGTGTCCTCAATTACTTGTCGATTCTTCTCAGTTTTTTTTTCCTACCTATGCTGGTAACCTAGAAAGGCTATTTCAGCTTCACCCTAACGTGTGTAGGTGAGCTCACGGGGCTCAAGTCGGAGTGTTGCTAACAGAAACCCTTGCAAGAGCCGGGCTTCGCAGAATCTACCACCGGATCGGAAACGCGACCCACTGAGAAGATCCGGCGAGAAACTCAGTAGGCACACTTCTCAGTAGTGAAGCTGCATTCGTATTAGAAGTGCCTAATTATGGAAAAAACAGCTGAACAGCTTTTGGAAATAATCTCTATCTCTAATATATTTTTATTATTTGCTGACCCCTAAATTCACCACATGGTCACATCTAGAAAATAATATATGTTTTGACAAGTTTTTTCAAGTTACCTTTTTTTTTTTATTGCTTAGATGAGTGGACGAGCTCACAGCCCACCTGGTGTTAAGTGGTTACTGGAGCCCATAGACATCTACAACGTAAATGCGCCACCCACCTTGAGATATAAGTTCTAAGGTCTCAATTATAGTTACAACGGCTGCCCCACCCTTCAAACCGAAACGCATTACTGCTTCACGGCAGAAATAGGCAGGGNTTATTTGCTGACCCCTAAATTCACCACATGGTTACATCTAGAAAATAATATATGCTTTGACAAGTTTTTTCAAGTTACCTTTTTTTTTTTTTTTTGCTTAGATGAGTGGACGAGCTCACAGCCCACCTGGTGTTAAGTGGTTACTGGAGCCCATAGACATCTACAACGTAAATGCGCCACCCACCTTGAGATATAAGTTCTAAGGTCACAATTATAGTTACAACGGCTGCCCCACCCTTCAAGCCGAAACGCATTACTGCTTCACGGCAGAAATAGGCAGGGTGGTGGTACCTACCCGTGCGGACTCACAAGAGGTCCTACCACCAGTAAAACCTACGAAAAACCGAAAAAATGACTCGTAGAGTAATGAGTACTCCGTAATTTCACACTACTAAAACACCATGGGAAGCTTACCTTCGAAAAAATATATCATTAAATGACCAAAAAATGAACGAGCATGTCTTTGTTGTTAAAAATAAAGCGATCTTTACAATACCGTAAAAAAAAAAACGTAGGTACTGACTGAAAAAACATACTTATACAAAATGTATTTTTCGTAGTGCAGAAAGGTTTTAATTTAAATCGTTATTGTAGCCCATGGACAGCACGAAGGCACCTGAAGTATGCAAAACTATACATAGCACGCGGTTTTACCTGAGCTAAATTTGTTCAGGAAAATTGAAACATGTCGCATATTCCCCGGATAAAGAGCTGCTTTTGTCTGTTTCTCGTCCATAGATTACCAGTTGATTTTTAGATCCATTAGTACCAATACATTGTTGTATTGTAGCAAATATATCCATCTTCGCTCGGATTATGTGGTAGGACCTCTTGTGAGTCCGCACGGGTAGGTACCACTGCCCTGCCTATTACTGCCGTGAAGCAGTAATATGCTTCGGTTTGAAGGGCGGGGCAGCCGTTGTAACTATACTAAGACCCAAGAACTCATATCTCAAGGTGAGTGGTGGCATTTGCGTTGTAGATGTCTGTGGGCTCCGGTAACCACTTAACACCAGGTGGACTGTGAGCTCGTCAACCCATCTAAGGAATAAAAAAACAAACGTGTGGCACTCGGGAACTGCCGCGGTAAAGCTATTGCATAGTATTTTTTATCAACTTATGCAATTATAATTAGACAATGACAATTTAATATTAAAACAATAATAAAACAAGATCACGCAATATTAAACATTAATAAAAGCAAAACCTTAACTGTCCCTTTCAGACTCATAAGCTAGATCGTGCGAGAGAGAGATGGGCAGAATTTCATGATGCGCATGCAGTGTGACGTCACGCCACGCGCTTATTCACAAACACTACACAAGCGCAACGTGTGAATGTGTTGAACGCGAGCTACATGGTAGGCGGAGTGAGGGGTGTAAGGTTTTTTTCGTTACGGATTCATGATTCGGTCGCCGCGCTCAAGGCCCGCGATAAAAGCTATGCAATAGTTTAAAAATAAAAAAACCATCTAGATTATAATCGATCTGAATGCGAATTTATTCCAAA